TAAACTTGAAACGCACTTTTCACATATCATGGTCAGTTCTGGTCTGAGTTTGGGGTAAATCTCTTGAAAATTTGATATTCTATACCGTAAATTGTTGAATTATTCTTACTACAAACCAATATTTTAACGTCCTCAATTTCTCAACGTTCTGCAGTTTTGAAGGTAAGTAAATTTTTGATCGCCATCTTCAGTGTTATCGTTTCAGTCATTGCCCTCAACAGCCTCTGAAATTGCGTGTCTTATGGTAAAATTTGACTTGAGAGCGGTTTGTTAACTGTTGGAGTCATCTCCTACTGATTTTATCATCAGGTTCTCATAATGAGACACCATGACTCTATGAGTATGCTTTTGATCACTGACATGATGCAGTTGGTAAAGTTTTTGAACTTGATTGACCTGTCATAAACGCATATGGTTCAGGTCAGAGTGACCCTCTCCGATATTTTTCAATGCTTTTAAACGTTAAACCTGACCAACAGCAATGATATGGAAGGACTTTATTTCAAAATATCAATGCATATGTTTTAATGATGCATGCGCTATTAACATAGCCGTAAATTCTATGAAACCTGTTTTTTATATTTGAAAACATCACATTGTAATGAGGGTCTTTAGGAATATATCAAAGACGATGTGGTGATGTAGCTGCAGCCGATTCGTGTGTAAAATGAAGATTAGATATGGATCGGAGGTTATGGTAAGCATCCATCTGTTATGGTACATAAAACGTAATATTTTGGTAGTTCGCAAGGGTTTCCGAAATCTTTTCTCCGGGGTATCCAAAGCAACTTGAAGGCACAGTTTATTTTGTGATTCATGGTGTTTTAATTTAATTTTTACTATAACCATGACCGGGAATAGCAGCAAATATGCATTTATCTGCCAGTGCTAAATGAGGCATCTAGGTGAGCTGCATCGATCACCTCCTCAGACAGAGTCTCGTTCTTTTCTGCTCTACCAATCTCGCTCTATGAGCACTCTCTGGTGACAGAATTCGTATAATCTTGTCATTCCTTTTAACGACCTTTCAACTGTAGAGATGGTAAATGATAGAAGAAAGCTCATTTCTGTCCCGTTCGTAAATTTTACGCGGTATTTCTGAAATGCATCCATCGTTTTTTGTCAGTTGGTCTGTATTTTTCCATGATCTTTATACCATGACCGTTATTGTCTTTATCTTTATCACCATCATGGTCATAATCACGTTCTTCGTCGTTCTAGTCATTATTTTGATCATCAGACTGATCATGATAATCGTCGTTATTTCAGTAATTGTCAAGGTTGCTATCATCACTAGCTGATTATCGATATCATTATAAACGCTGCCTTCGCTATCATCACAACCGTTGTCTCCACCTTCATCATCTTCACAACCACAAACACCACCCTTATGATAATCGGTCATCATTATAATCATTATTACTATCACCACCATTATTCTAACCACTGTCATTGTCATAATTACAGTCGTCATTATCAGTACAGTCATTAGCCAGTTATCATTATTGCAACCACCGTGATTTTCATAATCACTTCATCGACGTTGTTAGTACCATGGACATTATCGTTGGCACCGTAATCGTTGTCATGACCCTTCTCCTCGTTTCCATAATCATCTCCGTCGTTGTCATCATCATATTTAGTATCATAGTCACTATGATCGACACCATAATTGTCATAGCTGTCATCGACCTCATCATTTCCTCTGAAAGCATCATCTCTAACAGCCTCTAACCGAAATACGGGCACGTCAAACATTTATCTCGAAGTTAGCATACCACATGATTGAGTAAATTAAACAAATTAAACAAATTAAAGTCCATTGTGCTGTGGAACTGAGAATGCGGCTCAAGGTGATAATAACAGCATGCAATAGGATTAACCATTTTAATGGACTGCATCCGTCCTATTTCGAACGCCGATGTATTGTTAGAAATCTTTTTTACTTCTAAGTTAAAATGTCTTAACAGTAGAACGGCGTTTAGACACATTAAAGTTACTGTGCACTGACAAAGGTGTCTTTGTATGTTTAAAGAATGAACATCAGTAATCCTTACACTGACGTACAGAATCAACATAAACTTATATATGATCGTAAGGTAACTAACTTCCCGTAAGGTAACGGTGACATCGTAACTTTCTTGTCACTTGACAGTTTTCACCGAAATGTATGGTTGACTTGGGTGGTTATGCAGTGATATAGTATCGTAGGATCTCTGCTTGCCGAAAGTCAAATTTGAGAAGCCTACTCCGCTCGATAACTCGAACCGGCCGGTGCCTAGCGTTTCGCGGAAACGTTTTACAACGTCCGCGAAACGCAGCAAGCTGGGTAGCAATGGAAACAGGGCAGTGGCCGAGAAACGACGAAGTAGCAAATGCTCGAAGCACCCTCGTAACGTCGTGCAGACTATAACGGCGATGCTCAACAACCAGATCGGCTCGGGTGCCTCGAAGCATAAGGACGATGACGAGTACGTGCATACGGTGGTGGTAACGTCGTCCAAGAACGACTTCGTGTTCTGTCGTGTAAGTGTCCTGGTGAACGATGGCCACCGGCCAACGTTTAGTCAGTTGGTACGCCCAACCAAACCATGTGTATGTTTGTTCATCTTTTGCAGGACATGTGTGTGGTGTGCGGCAGTTTCGGTAATGGAGCCGAGGGATACCTGATTCCGTGCATGCAATGCGGTCAGTGCTACCATTCGTATTGCGCCAATGTAAAAGTACGTCTGATTGTTTTTTCTTCTTCATTTTAGTCGTTACATATTTTTTGTGCAAAATCAAAGATGTTACTTTTTTTCTTCTCCAGATTAACTCTGTGATATTGCGTCG